CCCCCTATGATAGTTAGTCAAAGTCGAAAAACCCCTTAACAGCTTTTCGTGATGTCCAATCGCGGATTGTGCGGCTGGCATAAGTTTTTGGACACGAAAAGTCAAACATACCCATAAACTTCAAAATTTTGAAATTTATAGTTTTAACCCGAAATTTTATAAGCCCTAAATTAAAATTTTTAGAATTTTCAATTCAGTCCTTTTCATTTTCGAAAAAGCCCTCTTCTTCAATCTGCTCTACATCGTCGGTGTTTGCTGCCAACCCATCTGCTCCACATCGTCACTGTATGCTGCCATCTTCAAACTCCATTATCAAACAATGCATAAATTTCCAAAAACTGAAGAACATAGATAAAAGAACTTCTTCCCCAAAATTCTTCTTCTTCCCCATGGAATCACCAGCACCAACACCTCCGCCCCATCCTTTTCCTTCCACCACCTGCCTCCACCGCTATCCTTGCTGCTGACACCCTCCGTTACAGAGGCTAATTCCTCTTCTCCTCCACCGCCCAAGTTCTTGAAACCCCCCTCCACATACTTGGGGTTTTGCTGCAAATGTTTTGCACAATTTTTATTTCCCTTTTTTTTTTTTTTAATATTTCCTTTCTAAGGATAATTGGGTCATTTCACGTAAGTCAACAATAAATTTTGAAATAAGGGCCGGCGTGCTTTGAAAACCACAACATAGGGGGCTTTTTGCTAATTATTTTAACAGAGGGTGCTTTTTGACAATTAGAAATAACACAGGGGGGTCTGTGCTATTAGCTCGAAAATATTTTCAGAGACAATGGAGATTATATTTAGAAAATAGTCAGACTAGAGTTACAATTATAAAATTGGTACTCTTTGATTTGTGATAACCCATTTGAATTATTTTTCCTAATAAAGAGAGTCTACTCACATTTTCATTATTTGGGATATATATGACCCTTTTCTTTTCCAAATTTATCATTCCCACTACTTATTACCGGGTACTGAGATGCTACACCGATCATATACACAATATATGTTATTTTAATTATTGATGTGGTTAAATAACCATCCATCGAGCATCGAGCAAACATACACATAGACGTGAGTGTGATTATGCGAGATCACACGTACACATGGATGTGTGTGATTATGTGTAGCATTAAATATAGTCAATATAATTAAATATTTATAGATTTTGATTTAAAATAGTATAAATTTGAATCATATTATTTTTCGATAGACATGCATGAAGCATAAACACCAGAATATTACAACCTATATATAAACATTAAAAATACAAAGGGAGCATGGGAACAACGAAATTCTTGAAAAACAATTTAGAAAATTTGGGGTAATGATCAACCCCAGTACATAATAAAATTATAACAAGACAGAGAGTTTGACGATAGCGAAAATTAAATAACTAAGTTGGAGGTTACAAACAAGAATCATATAATGGATAAAAGATGAGATATAACTATTATGTATTCTTCACGGCTCGTCAAGCAATGGACGATCATCATCCGGTAAATATGCAGTTACCGAATCATCCAAATGCATGCTCGTTGAGATTGACGAAAAATCATAAGACTCGGCAAACTGGTCACGAATAGAAGGTACGTACTCTGTGATGCCTTCTTCATTTTGCATGTAAACTGTTGAATCTTCTTTCATCATTCGAATTCCTTCCAACTCCACAGCAACTTCCTTCATAGTCGGCCTTCTCTTTCCATTCAAATTCAGACATCTCTTAGCAATCTCTGCAATAGCCACAACCTCCTCTCTCTTCCCCTCTTTCAGCACCCTCGCATCAAGTATGTCGAATAGGCGATTCTCCTCCATCGAGTGCAAGAAATGTGTCGCCAAGCTCCTCCCCACATCGGCTCTAATAGAAGAGATGGCTTTCTCCCCTGTCAAAAGCTCCACCACCACAACACCGAAGCTATAGACATCGCTCTTGTCTGTAAACTGGCTCGATTGGAAGTACTCTGGATCCAAGTAACCGAATGTTCCTAGTACTCGTGTTGTCAAGTGTGTCTGATCGATACCGATCGATCTTGATGTCCCGAAATCGGCAACTTTGACACGATATTTATCGTCCAATAATATATTCGTCGACTTGATATCCCGGTGATAAATAGGTGTAGAAGCAGAAGAGTGCAAGTACGAGAGCGCCCCCGCCACTTCTCTTGCAATGCGCACTCGCATTTCCCAAGATAAAGGGAACTCCTCGTTTGGATCGTGGACGTGTTGGAAGAGTGTGCCGTTGGGTATGAACTCGTAGACTAAAAGTGGAACTTCGGTCTCCAAACAACACCCCAATAGTTTGACCACATTCCTATGGTTTATCTGCGATAGAATAACTACTTCGTTGATGAACACTTCGAGATCGCCTTCTTCTACCTTCATGGACTTTTTGACAGCCACAATTCTTCCATCAGTCAACATTCCTTTGTAGACGGTACCTTGCCCACCACGACCGAGTACACGATTTTCATTGTAACGATCGGTTGCTTGTGCCAACTCCTTGGAAGTGAACAACTTTGTCTTCTCTAGGCCGTTCTCCGCTAAAGATAACTGTTGTTGCAATAACAAACCTCCGTTCCGCTTGAAAAACTTACGTTTGCGGTTAGCCTTTATTCTTTTTCTGATGACTCTGATAGATTTCCATGCCCCGAAGAGCAAAATTAGTGCACCGAGCGCGCTGCCAACACTGATGAATGCTATTTTGACTCGAGATCTATTATTACCATCTCCATAATAATTGCCAAAGTCACATGTGTAACTCCCTTCTAAGTTGAGACAAGTTCCATTCAAACATTGAGTTAATGTTGCATTAATGCTACATTCATCAATATCACTGCATCCTGATAGTGTATATGGGTTCCCTTCATACCCATATCCGCAATAGCAATATTGGATAGAAGATATGTAAGCCAACTTTGAAAATGTCGGGTACGAAAAAACGTCGTAATTGCTGCTGATACTGGAGAATCTGCAAGAACCTTGATAAAGATAAGATCCCGGGTTCTCGAGTTCCCACTCAAGCACCAGTGGTGCATATCGAAAATCCTGCTCATAAGGATTTAACAGATTACCCTGAAGGCCCTTATACCTTTTGTATTCATTAATGAACCATTTCTTTTCGACAGGGAAAGCATACCCGCACGTGACATTGTGAATACCGGATCGAATGCCTTGGTACGTATATTTGAGCTCATGTAGCCGAGATGGGATTATTGTCTGGCAACAGTTGACACGCACCATTGCAACTGGTGTCTGTAGAATTGGCATCACATATGGCCATGCATCCACCAACCGTGGTTGTCGCGTTAGCACGCAACCACACCGAATTCTGACACCCCAAAACAGCCAACGAATTGTATTCGCCCGAGATGGTGAATGGGCTATTTTCCAGTGATCTAACTAGGTGGTGCGTTTCTTGCGTATCGGAGCATTTCATTGGTGTAACCGGGTTCTTCACTGTGACAGTACCATGCACGGAAAAATTGAGTGCTTCCATACTTATGATGTTCAAGAATGGTACTACTACCCCGGTGGAGTTTTGTTGGCTGGTGCAGTTGATTTCGAAGGACGAATTGAAACTGCACGAAGGGCCAATACCGAAAGGATACGGAATTGTGACGTTTCCACACATTGATGGACAATTAGGCATGGACCAAGATACTGCTAGCGCCATAGTTGTGGCGAGATATAGCGATGCAATCACCCGGAGTACTATAAACGGTAAACTCATTTCGTTGGTTAGCCACACTTTAATTTCCTCCTTGAAAAATTTGTCTGCAGAATCAGTGAAAATGATCGAGATTTAACTTAGAATCCATATAAATTACATAAACATCTCAAATGTTTACACATATAATATATGCAATATTTAGGAGGATTTAGCAAAATAACTCTTTCAAGGCCATACATAATTAAAACAATACTACAGCAATTAAATATTACCCCTAATTCAATTAATCCACACTACCTATTTTAAAATAAAAAAATGCTCTTCCGATCCAGATCAGGACTATAAATTGTTAAAACTATAATTTCCTCAGTTCTTGAAAAAATAAATTGTTAAGCCTACTTGTGCTGGACTGCTGGATATATATGATTAACTTGTACAGTTTCATAAGATAATATAAGCAATATTAAACAGAAGATCACAAGTACACTTTATATACTCTAGTAACCAAAGTGATAATTTTCAGTGTATATATATATATATATATATATATATATATATATATATATATATATATATATATGTTTACGTCAATGGGGCTCCTTTTCTTCTCAAGGCAACTTATTCCGTGCTCCGGTGAAGATACCTGCAACGCCGGGAGGGGTTCCCGGCGGGAAAGCTCCGACGATCAAGTCAGTGATCGGAGTAGAGGCAGAAAAAGTGTATGTATTGTAGTAGTAATTAAAAAATGTACATCCGCCACTGTGAGTGTGATGATCCTTCTATTTATAGAAGGAGAAAACTTGGCCTTCAAGGCTTTCCTTCTTTAGGGTTTTTCTTTTCCCTCAAGTCACATATCTTGGGCCTGCATTGCTTTGGGCTTGCCCTACCTCGTTCTGGTGTTGGGCTAGCGAGTTAAGGTATTCTCATATGGTTCCCGAGGTTTGCACCACACAGCGACTTCGCCCATAACCTCGAGCTAGTTCATCGTGGGCTTATTTTTGTGGGCCTATCATACTGGGCTTATCTTAACGGGTTTACGTTTATTCGTTCATTGTCAAATTGGCCCGTATCAACTACTCCCCCCTACTCCTTATTTATAAAACGGGTCGTCTTTTCCTTACTTCGTTTTATAAGTACGGAGTACAAGGTGCTAGTTCGTACTTCGACTTAAGCTTGTGTCGGCGTACGCAACCCCCTTTCCTTTTCCTCTCATTAATTGCTCTGACATCCCGTGTGGTCAATTCGGGTTCCCTAGGTTATCATGAGGAGATTTCAATCGACACTTTTCGTGCTAGGTTCGAGGCGATCTGCATTAAATCTCGTCCGTCCGGATAAACGGTTATGATTGGTTTTCTCTCTTCCCGAGGCAATTACTGAGGAATCCCAAACGGTGTCTCTTGCACTGGAATCGAAATAATCTACTTTGGATCTCATCCGTCCGAATCGATGGCTGTGATCAATTTTTCTTCATTTCCTTCTCCTATAAGTATCTGACTTCTACGAATTTTCAGAATTTTTTCCTCTTCTTCACCTCTGTGCTCTCTTTGTCTCTTCTTACCTCCGGCGATCTTGCTTTTCCGAGAATCGAGTTCCTTCCATCCTGTGCTTGTTTTCTTCTTCGACCAAGGTACTCTATTTTTCCCTTGCTTTTTAATATCCCTAACCTATGTCTTCCAATTCCCCCGACCCCTTTGGTCAGAAAATGCCTTCCCGGGAGGGAGATGAATACCCCTCCCTTACCCTTTCTTCTTCTTCGGAGGAGGGGCCCTTCTTCTCTCCTTCGGGTAAATTACTGAAAAGATCTAAGAAAAAGGGGGGAGACGACGCTCTGTCTTCTGCGAGGAGTGGCTCTCCTTCGCTATCTGGGGGGCGTGATTTAGACGACCAGTGGGGGCCCAGTACCTTAAGCGAGGTAGACTTAGACAATTTAGTTCGTGATATAGGTCTCCCTACTGACATCGAACTGCTGTTGCCCTCTCGAGATCAGCGTCCCTTAAACCCACCCCCCGGTTTCAGCACTTGGTTCTCGGAACAATTCTATTTCGGTCTTTCTTTTCCCATTTCGTCTTGGTTTTCCGAGATTGCGCAATTGTGTAACGTGTCTCTCAATCAGTTTCATCCCCATGCTATAGTTGTCATGACCGGGTTTCGCATGCTTTGCGCCTGGTCAGGCGTGACCCCTACTCCAGCTCGATTTCGGAGTGTGATGGTCTTAAAAAATTCCAGCCCCTTCCACGTTTCTATCTCGGCTCGCCCGGGTTTCAAAATATTAATGCCGCCCAATAAGACTGATGGGTGGCAGGGTCACTACTTTTTTGCGAAAAACCCCACTGATACTCCTTACCTATGTCATTGGTTCGCAACTTTACCTGACAAACGGAGGGGAAACCCTTAGCGATTGACGAATGGCTTTTGAAAATGATTGTTCATTTCCAACCGAGTCATGGTATGCCTGAGACTCTTACAAGCTTTCCACCGATACTTCGCCATTTCTACTTTCATGACAACGGCACTCATCCCCTAACTCAAGAGGATTTAGGTGGGTTTAAACATGATATTACTTTTATGTATCAGCTCGTCACTTGTTTCGGGCTGTTGCTCTTTACTTAACTGTACCTTACGCTTGTCGATATATTGTCCGCTTGCTCACCACATTTTCCTTAATCCAACAAACAGACTTAAGAATGAAGAGGATGTTCCGAGGTGATAAGCCGGCGACTCGCCCATCTGAATCGGAGCCGGCGTTTCAGGCGTCCGAATTTCAGCGCCCTGTGGCCGCTGAATCCGAGAAGCGGTCCTCCGAAGAGGGGGCTTTAAGGCAAAGGCCTTCCAAGAAGAGTGTTGGAGCTCCGCGTCCCCGAGGCGGCCCACGCGTTGAGGATCCCGAGCTTCCTCGTCAATCTTCGGCCGTAGTTGCAGTCCCTTCCCCGACACCTTCCTCGGTCGAAGAACAGGTGGAAAAAGAGCCCACCACGAAAAAGAGAAGGACTGATCTAGCCCTTGGGTTGGTCGGATCGACTCCTGGGCAGACCGGATCAGCTTCGGGGCAAACTGGGCCATCTCTGCCTCCCAACTTTGCACTCCATCTTTGCCAGAACGCAGAGAACGCAATTGCTGCTTGCCGAGCTATGGCGCTTCCCCGAGACGTTGCTCACTTCGGGCAAATGAGCAAGGGTGACCGGCTCGAGTTGCTTCTTCATAACATAACACAGGTTTGTTTTATCTTGCACACATGAATTAGCTTTTTCGTCTCTTAATCGTAGTTGATTTTACTTAAGTCCCCTGTATGTGCAGCAATTCGCGATTGCCTTCTCGGGCCCTTTGGGGTGGGATGATGTCTCTCGTGAGGCATACGATAATCAAAAGAAAGAGGTCGGCCAGCTCCGAAAAGAGGTCCGAGGTTTGAAGGAGAGTCTGGCGGTGTCCGAGTCGGCGAAAGAGGGATTGTTTGCCGAGGTGAGGAGGCTACAAGAGAGGGAGAAGATTCTACAAGTAGAGAAGGACTCTTTAGTATCTCACAATGCGAGCTTAGAGGAAAAAGCTAAAGGGCTTTCTAACGAGCTATTTGCGGCTGGGAAGCAGGCATCTTCTAACTTCACCGAGAGAGTGAAGGAAGGCCATCGGCTGTTCCCGGGTTCTTCCGAGGGTCTGCGCTTCATGGAGGCGTTCGTCGGTCGTTTTTTCAACCGGCTCTGGCGTTCGACAACATTTACCCGACAAGCGTCCGGCCTAGCTCGCTTCTTCTTTTCGGAAGCGGTGAAGGCTGTTCGGAAGCGATTACAAGGTGCTGGCATCGAGTTCCCGCTGGTCGAGAACGACCTTGCTGAGTACTTGCCGGATGATGTGATCCCGGGTTTCGAAGGCGATGTGAATGAAGACCCTGACTTAGAGTGGTGGAGGGAGGTGCATCGGGAGCTTGTTGTAGATTTCTCTCGCCAAGGAAGCTCTTCGGTGATCATCACCGATTTGGTTGGGGATGTTGAGACTATTGATGCTATGGCGAGTCTTAACAAGGCACCGTCGGACCTTACCTCCTCTCCTCTCCCATCCGTCGGAGATCAAGGCGAAGCCGAGGTGGAGTCACCGAAAAATACTTAGCCGTTTTTAGCTATCTCCCATCAATGTACCATGTACTTGTATTCTCCTTTCGTATGTGTTTGAACAATTTTTCTCTGCTTCCCTTATATCGATATATCGGGAGTTCGTTTGTTTAAGTATTACTTTTCGTACTTTACCTTGAGTTTATGATATTTTGATTTTTGTGTATTTCAAGAGTAATTCTTTAGACTTAGTAATTTTTTCTTGCATTCGAATTGAACCAATGATTTTTTAAACTCGTATCGATGGTTATTCCATGATTTCATCAACCCAGTCATTACCCTGATTTTGGCAAGCCTCTTTGATTTTAGTGCAATATTTTGCTTCCATTCTAGTTTGACTTGCCTCGGTAAACACGCGAGTAACGCCACAATGAACACGCGATTAACGCCAC